AAAAAAAATATTGATTAGGAACCCTTCAACTTCAACGTCCTAGGAACCCGAGATGCTAGCGAAAGAAAAAAAAAGAGAGAGAAAATCTAGCTAGATGAAAAAAAAAAGAGAAAGAGAAAAAGAATGAATGCCGAAAGTGTAGACTAGATACGATTAGGTAGAATGACATAATAGGTTCGAGAAACATGCTTGATAGATGATTGAAGTCCTTAGATTGGTTCTGGGTAGCGGTATAGATCCCATAGCTAGGAAAGACTATCCTTTAGAGAGGGAGATCATATTAGACAGACTTGGTCATTGTTCACGGGGATCTAGGTCGGATAGATGTTTCGCTCTTGATTATCATTTTGAGTTATGTCATTGTCTCGCCCTCCTTTCAGATTTTTTTCACGGAGTATTTGCTCGAGGACGAGCAAAGGTTTAAGTCTGGGGGAGTTTGATAACACGTATTTTGGGTGACGTTTTGATATAGGATGTCTAGCATATTTCACTCTATTTTACATATTTGTAGGCATTCTAGGGCACATTTGGCTTCGACATTGCGTGGTTGTGTTCTTTGGTGTTTAAACAGATTTTCACGTATAAAAGAGCAAAAGGAGTGGAAAACATGGGCTACGGAACATCATGGATGAAACGAAAATATTTGGAGTGTTTCCAGGGAAAACGTGAAGCTCAGAAAACGTTAGAATTTGTAAGTCTCATAACTTTCACTCTACAATTCCAAAACATGCATTCTCTACATCATTGGAAAGCTCTTCTCAATATCTATGCATAGACACCAAGATCATCCAAATCCGATATCGGAGCAGGAAGTTATGAGCGAATTCGTGAAGCCCGTCGAAACTGCTCAGAGACATGAAACGATCGTTTCGGGATGGACGAAATGATCGGTTCGGTATCGCAGAAGTTGGAAAATTGCTCAGAAAGTGAAACCGATCGGTTTGGCTTTGCCGAAACAATCGTTTGACCCCCAGATTCGGGAAAACTTCCAATTTTGGCCAAACCGAAGGGAAATAAGAGGGGGAAACCTCTAGATCGAAAAGAATTGGGACTTTACACAGAAAATAGACCTAGAGCACACCAAAAGGGGGAGATTATCAAGAGGCAAGAGATCGGAGTAGAAGACGGAGATTACGAAGCCGGGAAATCGACTAAGCATTCTTCTTTTCTTCTATTTTACGATGTTTTGTATTATTGATATGAACCCTGTCGTTTCGATGTTTAGTGAGTAGTTCCCTTGCTGTGGGTTAGAGATTTGCTATGTAAGGATCTTTGGTTTTTAATCCCAGATTATGTGGTATTATTTATTTGATTCAGTTTATTGAGTTGCTCTTAATGCGTTTGATCTTGTTGACCACTTGATTGAATGAACTTAGGGTTTTAATTCGCATAGACATATGGGATTCTAACCTGGTAATAACTCAGTAAATAGAACAGGTATTGCATCGAGAGATGAATATTTGCCTAGGGATTATGATAGCGTTCGTTCATGCATCCAGGGTTTTAGACTATTGAATCGAGAGATTAGTAGGATAAAGCCTGGATAGTGAGATTAGACTTGAGAGAGTTAATCTCTACTTTAGAGCTTGAGTTCCCTGAATTGGATAGATAAACCACTTCGTTTGCATCTTTAGAGAAGATCCTTGCATGTAAAGCAATCCCGAAGCCTGCAGTGTTTTCCATTGATTGTCTACAACCGTTTTAGTTAATTGCTTTGTTCTCAACATTCCATTTTCCACATTCCTATTATTTTTCTTGGATTTAGATTTGGATTTGGGTTTAACTCCTTTGCTTAATTTTGTCCCTGTGTTAGACCCTAGCTACTACACACGATCCGTACACTTGCGGTTAATTGTTGAGTATAGGAATATTATTACTTGATAGATTTCTACACCTAGATTTACGACATCAAGTTTTTGGCGCCGTTGCCGGGGACATTTTAAGCAACAGGATTAGATCTTGTCTAGTCTGGATCTTTTTGTTTTTTTTTTCTTTTCCTTAAGCGATTTCTCACGTTTTCTTTGTTTGTCTGTTGTTTTTCATCTGTGTGCAGGGTTCACTAGTGCATGACCAAGAGTTCTGGGATATCAGACCTAGTACCTCTTGATCCTGAAATTGAAAGAACCATCACACGCCTCCGACGACAGCAAAGACAGATGGAGAACAACCGAGATTTTGCACTTCCTGATGGTGTCGAAGGCAATGCTGACTCAACCTTTGCCCAGTACAACACGCCTAAGCACACTGAGCTTTTGGCTGGTATTTGATTACCGGCCATCGACATGTCTAGTTTCGAGCTGAACCCGTCTACTATTCAGATGTTGGGCAACAATGCTTTCCGGGGTAGGCCGAACGAAGATCCGAATGCACATTTAACTCGCTTTAAGATGATGTGTCGTTCTGTCAAGAGAGACAACAGGGTGACAGAGGATACACTTCGCTTAAATGCTTTCCCCTGGACTCTCCTAGATGCTGCTTTGGAATGGTGTTATGATTTGATACCTGATTCCATCCACACATGGAAACAATTGGAAGTGCAGTTTATGTCAAAAAAATTTCCAGCTCACCGCACTCAAGCCGCTCTTTCTGGCATTCATTCATTCAAGCAGGATCATGGGGAAAGTCTTTATGACGCTTGGAAGAGGTATAAGGGATATCAAAAGTCTTGCCCTCATCACGGGCTAGATAAAAACTACCTGATCAACACCTTCTTCCAAGGACTCACGATGGATACCAAGACCTTGATCCGGGCATCTTGCGGTGGGAGCATCCAGAACAAGTCATTCGCTGAGCTAGAAGAACATATTGAGATGATGGCCCAAGAAGAAGACGCTCCGAATGAGTACTCTAGAGAATTGCCAAGGAAAGGCAATGATCAAACCATACAGATGGTTCTCGAACAATTGGTTGTCCTCAATGCTAAGCTCAAAGATTCCACTCGATCCTCTAGGACCGAACATTCGACGCCAACACAAGAGGAGCTCGGTATGTATGCACTAGATGAGAGAATCGAAGGTGTGAACTATGTGGCCAACAACCCCTACTCGAACTCGTACAATCCGGGGTGGAAAACTCATCCCAATCTCTCATACAAGTCAAACAGTGTTTAGAATCCCGCGTCGAACAACTTCAGAGTATCCGACAACTCGAACCAAAGGATTCCTCCCGGCTTTGCTTTTCAATCAAGGGGTCCTAATCAGACATCCAACTACAGAGCTCCGGGACAATCCTACAACAATGTTGCATCTCCAGGTAATCTCGAATCTAACCCTGATACGTATGGTCTCCTTATACAGTTTTTGCAGAGTCAAGAGAAGATGAATCAGGAATTTCGAGCTCAGTTCGCAAGCATCGAGGCTCACTTCAAGAACATAGACAACCAGATTGCTCAGCTAGCATCAGCCATTCAAAGACCATCTGGGTCTCTTCCAGGTAACTCTGAGACTAACCCTCGTGCGCATGTCAACGCTATTACCTTAAGAAGTGGTAAGCAGGTAGATTCTGGAGATCCACCGATGGTTGAGCAAGGCGATAGCTCGAGAACCACAGTTTTAGACACTACTGATGATATACCTGAGCTAGCTTACGTGCCTCCTCCTCCTAGACCACCACCAGTACCGTTTCCATCTCGCCTGAGGAAGCACAATGAAGACAGCCAATTCGCAGCACAACGAAGACAGCCAATTCGCGAAGTTCGTTGAGATGCTGAAGAAACTCGAGGTAACCATGCCATTCACTGACGCTATTTTGCAGATTCCATCGTACACGAAGTATCTCAAGGACATTCTGACCAAGAAGAGGATCGCTGAGAAAGAAACTGTGGCGCTTACTGTCGAATGCAGTGCTTTGATCCAACACGACCTCCCGCTTAAGCGGTCTGATCCAGGTAGCTTTTCAATCCCTTGTAAATTGGGTAATGTTTCCATCGATCGTGCACTCTGTGATTTAGGAGCTGGCGTCAGTCTTCTTCTGACTCTCCAACTTGACGATCGTTCTGTCAAATACCCCATTGGGATACTCGAGGATGTGCCACTGAAAGTCAGAAACTTCTATATCCCGGTTGATTTCGTGGTTCTCGACATGGACGAAGACTCTAAGGTACCTATCATCCTTGGTCGTCCATTCCTTAACACTGCAGATGTTGTTATCCATGTTAGAGCAGGTAGACTAACAATGAAGAGTGGAGATGAGACGGTGGAGTTCACTTTGGACAAAAATCTCAAACAACTGTCATCAACAGAATCTGCTTGCTTCATAAACACACTCGACAATTCAGCTCAGAAGTATGAACCGATCGTTTTGGGCCAGGAAACCGATCGGTTTGAGCATGATCTCAAAGCGAAAATTCTATAGA